AGTCAGAGCAGCCAGAGCCAGATCCGATCCATGGGTTCTGTCTGCTGGGGGCCGGGGCCGGGAAAGGCTCCTTGGTGGCTTTTCCCCCACAAAATCTACCTGCCCCGCCCCCCAGGCTCTGGTGTGTGAGGGGAATGTAGGGGAGGGTCTTTCTGCTTCTCAGTCGGGGGCCACGTTATTGGGGAGGGTTTGGTTTGTTAGTTTTGCTTTTCATTTCTGTGCAGCCCCCGACTGATTTTTCTGGGGGTCAGTGGCCCCTGACCCCAAAAAAAGGTTCCTCACCCCCTGAGGTAAAGGGTTGTACTGGGAGCGGAGTATGTTTTTCTGGGGGGTCAGTGGCCTCTCTCTCCTAAATGCCCCCCCCCGAGGTAAAGGGTTGTACTGCGAGCGGAGTGTGTTTTTTGGGGGGTCAGTGGCCCCTGACCCAAAAAAAAGGTTCCTCACCTCCTCTAAAGATACTAGATTCTTTGGATATGTGCTAGACCAGTGGTTCCCAACCTGCAGTCCGCAGACCCCTGGTGGCCCGCAACAGTACTGTGGGGTGGGGTGGGGTGGGGGGGTCTGTGGAAAGTTAAAAAGTCAGGATCAGGCCCATCATGGCAGGCTCAATCTTTTCTTTTTTTTTCTCCCCCAGGGAGAGGTGTGCAAAATTTTAATAGATTGAAAAGAGGTCCATACGCTTGGAAAGGTTGGAAACCACTGTGCTAGACTAAAAAAACAAACAAACATATCTGGATTTTACCAGGCCTTTAGTAGAAGGTCACAGCAATGCTGAGCTCCCCCCCCCCAGATAAAGGGTTGTACTGCGAGCGGAGTGTGTTTTTTGGGGGGTCAGCGGCCCCACTCCCCTAAAGCCCCCCCCCCCAAGGTAAAGGGTTGTACTGGGAGCGGAGCGTTCTGCGTAGCAGCACTGGGCTCTGAGCCTTTTGTCCTCTGGAGACGGTGGCAAGTGAATTGCTCAGGGAGCTGGCGGGAGCCACACTTGGCCTTTCTTCCTCTGACCGTCTCTAAGAGGGATGGAGCCAGGGGGGAACACTTTCAAAAGCTCTTAAGCAGCTTTGCCCCGCTGATGCCCAGGGGACTTAGGATCCCAAGTCATTCAGGTCCAGATGCTCCGAGGTATTTAGGCTCCTGGTTTCCAGTGAAATCAATGGCCGTTAGGTGCCGAGATACCTTGGGGGGCTGGAACGTGGGCACTTTTGGACATTCTACCCCGGTGTCACAGGCAGCTGGTGGCAGTGAGCTAGCCGGTGAAAACCATCGACCGAGAAAGCAGACCAGCCCTTGTCCGGCGTCCGCCGGCAGAGGGCACTGGGGACAGCCAGCCCAGGGAGAGGCAAGGGAAGGATCCTGCTGCCCCTGCACAGCTGGCTGGGGCGCTTGGTTCTGGCCGGGTCTGTGACACTTGTTAGCTCCGTCTCTGCTCAGCCCTGATCTGTCTCCCCTGCCACCTCCTGAGTCCTGGGGAGCCAGGGTTCCCTCCCGGCGCGCATCAGGCAGCACGTGGGGGTTCCTCTGCGCGGCCCGGGGAGCTCTTTGGTTCTCTGACCGGCTATGGGAGGGGCAGGAGCCCAGCACTCACCATCGTTAAAGTCGCGTCCCAGCTCGTGGTTGGGGCAGCGCTTCACCACCTCTGTCACGTGCTCTGCCTTCTTGTAGACAGGCATGGCCCGGATGGCGGTGCCCGGCGGGGGCGGCGTGGCCACTTTGATCTGGATGGGGCAGGTCTTGGCGATCTGACAGTAGAGCTTCTTCAGCAGTGGGGAGTACTGGAAAGGAAGAGGGAGAGCGGAGCGGAGGGGCGCATCGGAAAGGAAGAGGGAGAGCGGGGGGGAGGGGCGCATCCTTTGCCCAGGCGGGGGCGGGCGTGTGGGGACTGCGCTCGCATGCCAGGGTGCCCACTGCGGGGGTCCAGCTGCTGCTGCTCAGACCAGCCTGGGCTCCTGAAAAGGAGCAGCCCCCTCATTGATTTATAGGACACTGGCCTCGAACAGTCCCCACTCAGAATGAGCCCCCCCCACGCTAGGTGCTGTACACGAACAGCAAGACACGCTCCCCGCCCCAAAGCACTGGTGGTGTAATTTAGCCGGTGGGG